TATAATAAATTATTTTGTTGTTCCTTGGCTGCACACGATGTTTCAACAAAAGAAATAACATGGAAAACTGCATAAGTGCTGCAGTTTTCTTCCTTTTCATTAAAATAGTGCATATTATGACATAATTGAGACAAAAAAATCAAAAATCATATGTAATTTGTTTATATTTCTTGATTTTATGCATTTCCAAACATTATGTGCAAATTTAAAATAGTTCTCAATAAATTTATTTTCTTGTGCCAAAACTGGGTCTTTACCCTATATGTAAACTATTGAAATATCCCAAATTAACCAATATAATCCCATGCGCTGAGCTCTTGGGATTATATTGGTGTCTTACATGTAGGTTGATACAGGTGCAATATTGGAATGACCATATCATATCATAACAAACAGTTGTTTTTATGTTTGGGTTTTATAAAGCATGTGCAACCTTGACTGATCGATGTCATTATGCCTGTTGATAAAGCCTGTTACTATGGCTAATATCGATTTCATCACCGATGTCTGATGCATGATGATTGCCATTTATCGTATTACACATACAATATATTTATTTTTTATAACTACAAAGTATAGATGATAAATATTATATAACATCAGGTTCCTTTAAAATTTACAACAAATAAAGAGAAATAAATGAGTAAGTTTGATCTTGATTGTAAACTAAATAGTTTTTTGTAAAATCTGTTAATACACTTATACTCAGTAGGAAAAACTCAATGTGACCTTTTTTTATTTTTTTTGTCAAAAGTAACCAAATTTTTTTCAATATTATCCAGTGTTCTCCCCAGGATTTTTAATGGTGCTGTGGTTAGCAAGCAATTTTAGACTGAATTGTCTTTCACTTTGCGACTTGGTGTAACATTTGTATTGTAATGTTCTATGTATTTAAAGGGGCATTATGAATAACATGTTCATTAATGCAAATAAAACAAAATGTTTGGTTACTGGAACAAAGCAGAAACTATCAATTCAGACTTATCAACCAAACTTAATAATAGATTCAAAAGTATTACAAAATTCTTCATGTGAAAAATTATTAGGTGTTAAAATTGACAGCACACTTAACTGGAGAAATCAAATTGACCAAGTTTGTGCTAATATATCATCCAGAATATACCTTCTTTCTAAAATAAAGAAATTTTTAGATATAAATGCAAGGAAAACATATTACAATGGATATATTCTGCCCCTGATTGACTACTGCTGTAATATTTGGGGTGAATGTAAAAATGAAGGGATAGCAAGAATTTTAAAACTCCAAAAAAGGGCAGCAAGATTAATTCTAGATGCAGATCCTTTATCCCCCTCAGCCCCCTTATTTAAAAAACTTGGGTGGATGACAGTTGACAATAGAATAAAATACCACAAATATTTACTTCTATATAAATGTATGCATATGGAAGCACCAATGTACCTAGTTCAAAAGTTTAAACTGAAATCAGATAATAATCCTTACTCCCTGAGAGGCGTCACTCAAGGTAATCTGATAGTTCCTAAGCCAAAAGCTGAGCTATTTAAGAAATCTTTTGTTTATTCTGGATCAGTGTTATGGAATGGACTACCACACAAAATGCGTAAAGCTCAAAACACTTATACTTTTAAACAAAGTATCAAGAAGTACTTAACACAGTCCTGATAAGATTATATTTTCTACAATGTATTTGTATATTCTTTTATTTTTATTTGTATTTGATTTTTTGACTACATGTACATCTTGAACAGCCTTATATCTTATCATGTTAGTAATATTACATTGAACTAATTGAATGTAAATTAACTTTGTGTAAATATCTGTTTTTGATTGTATTGTAATTTGTATGTGAGGGCCTCAGGGAAGATTAGTTTATTGTAACTAACTGAGTTTACCCTCTTTAAATAAAGAATTTATTATTATTATTATTATTATTAGCTACGAGATATAAAAAAAAATAAAAATATGATTTTTTTTTGTTCAATCATTAATGAAAGTGAAATAGTGAAATTATAATTCGCTTTTAGCAGCCAGTTTGGTTCAATTTTGTCAAAATAAGCTAAGAAACATCGCTGATGAATTATTCACTTGTAAGTGAACAATTCGACCTCATTGAATCTGTATTTATGTGACCTTCAGTTTAACCCCTGAGCTAGAGATGGATTATGCATAAACTAGGTGTGTTCAGCTATTAAAAGGAAAAGAATGTCAACATTGAAAGTGAAACAAGGGTATACCATTTGTTTGTCTGATTCGATCCACAAAAACTCATTCTTATACAGTTTAAAACTATGATTAACATATTTTATAACCTATAATTTGAAATCAAACAGACTTTTTACAACTTGGATATACGTTTTAGTATGTTATATCAAATATAATTGGCGAACGAATTTGACAGCTAATGTCCCTTAACATAAATTATTGCGAAAGAAATGAAACTTTTCCACAGAATCACTTGTAGGTTATCTGTGGATTTAACTTTTGTAAGTTCTTCTGTCCCATTGAATAAATACAATAGCTATTTTTCTCTGTGGGGTTTATTCAATGGGACCTTTAAATTTCTTCTAAGAGAAATCCATCACTCATTGATTAATTTACCTGAACAAAAAATTTCATGGATCAGTGATCAAGATTAAGTTTTCCTGGTCAAGCAATATGTCAGATATTATAAGACATAAGTCATCAATATTTTTTTTGTGTATGGAATGATTTCAAGATGCACATGTAAGACATAATAGTGTCCTGTGAAAAAGTTTCTGCCTGGACAGTTTTTCACAGAATTAAAGTAATAAATAATGTCCATTGCCATAAAATTTTGTCTCTTTAAGTGGACAAAAATTTATAGCTACAGTTATGAAATTGCGTCCTCCGACAATACACCTTCCTTAATTAATTAAAATGCACGTATAATAAAACATTTTGATGACCTTTGTATTACTTCCCTTGGAAGACATAATTTTATATAACAACTGCTATGAAATATTGTCCTGTGGGAGGACACTATTTTATAACTGTTGCTGTAAAATTTTGTCCACTTAAGAGACAAAATTTCATTATAAATGTATTTTTTTAAATAATGAATTCATTTTTATACCAGACTTCTCAGGTTTCACTTCATTTTACATTTTAGTATATACATGTTACCCATATTTCATAAACTGCTGATCTAAAATGAGATCAGCCTCAAAATCTAAAATCAGTATGAAACAGAGTAAAAATTGCTTGATTAAGTACAGGCACAAAAGAATGTAATGGAGTTAAACATTATTTCTTGAAGGGCATTATTAAATCCTACATTATCACATTTTCTGTTGAAGGACCAAATTTAATGGTAAAATGTGTCCAATGATAACATGGACACTTTTGTACAGCTTAGGACATTTTTTCATAGGTAAATTATGTCCGGTACACATTTAAATAAGTAGATATTGTCCAAGGACAGTATTTACTATGAAAAAATGTCCAGCAGACATTATTTCATGGGGGACATTATTAAATCCTACACACATGTCCAAGTTTCATCTGACCTTGACCTCATTTTCATGGTTTATGGTCAGTGACAAGTTTTTGTTGTTTGGTCTTTTTATGAGCACTAGATTAGAGCTCTGTATTTGGTGTATGGTTTGATTATAGACTGTACATGTCTGTCTGGCATGTTTCATTTGACCTTGACCTTTTTATGACTCATTGGACAATGTTACATTTTCAAGTTTATGTCTGTTTCTCAGATACTATAAGTAATAGGGCCTCTCTATTTGGTGTATTGGATGATTGTAAGGTGTGCATGTCTGTCTGGCATTTTTCATATGACCTTGACCTCATTTTCATGGTTTATTGGTCAATGTTAAGTCTTCATGATTTTGTCAGTTTATCAGATACTATAAGCAGTTGGTCAACTATATTTGATGTATGGAATGATAGTATAAGGTGTGGGTGTCTGTCTGACAGGGCTCATCTGACCTTGACCACATTTTCATGGTTCATTGGTCAATGTTAAGTTTTCATGGTTATGTCTGTTTCTCGGATACTTAAAGCAATAGGTCAACTATATATGGTGTATGGAATGATTGCATGGAGGATATGGTGCCTGGCATGTTTCTTCTAACCTTGACCTCATTTTTATGGTTCATTGGTGAATTTTAAGTTTTTCATGATTAGGTTGGTTTCTTAGATGTTTTGAGCAATAGGTTAACTAGATTTCGTGTTTGGTATGATTATTAAGTGGACATGTCAGTCTGGCAGGGTTCATCTGACCTTGACCTCATTTACCTAGATCTTTTATAATGTTAATGTTGTCTGATATTTGTAGTAAAACCTACATATAACAGACTTAAACCAAATTAAAAGTTCAATCAAGATAAGTAAAGCAGTTAAGACATTTCAGGGTGTGCACTCTTGTTTTAAATTTAAATGAATATTTAGCAGTTTGGTTAAATTATATTTTCTTCATATAAAAAATTCTGAATACAATAATTCCCTTTGTAGTCTTATCAAGTTATGTTCTTCATCCAAGCAGCAAATGAAATTAAAAAGTTGGCTTGGTTGACACAGACAGTTAAAGGAAATAGAATTGAAGTGTTCAAGATATTTTCACTGTTGGTAAAGCTCCAATTCCTTGAAGAAAACAAGGATCACATTTTGAACATAAAAACTAATATAAAGGAAACCATCATAAATTTCATAGAGTTTATTGTGATGTCTAGTTGATATATATCACACACCTCTTTTTATTTCACCCCATGGGGGAATAGACATTTCAACTTTTTAGACTAGAATACTACTATTGGTTTTGAACCTATTTGCTATAGGTATTTTTGAAATTATCACTAATTCTAAAAACATACTTATTATGGTTATCAGCAAGGTGGAAATGTTTTTATCAAACACAATTTATATAAACATGCTGATGATTGCTGATTGATGGTGTATTTTTTATTTCAAATAAAACATTTATGCATATACTTTTATACATACATTTATAAATTTTAACATTTATTTTATTTATTTATTCTATTTCCAGACTGAACATGCAAACTGTGTGGAATTACGCACATACGTTAAGGAGAGTAAAGAAAAAATTAAACAGATTCAAGAACAACATCTCAAGCAGATGGATGAAGTGAATGCTATGCTGGCTGAAAAACAAAAACAGGAGGTTCACAGCTGTTTTAATGAATTAATTACCTTATACACCTGAAAGTTATATTTCAAAATGTTGTCAGAATTTTATTTTTTTTTCAAAACAAAGTGAAATATCATACTGATATACTACATGTTTTTAACTCATCAGGTCGATTTCTATCAGCCATGATTTCTTAGTTTTAACACATGCATTCATAAGTCTAAATGTCATTGACATTCCGAAATGAATCCACTACTATAAATCAGATGTAGGTGTTGTATAATTATTGACAAGGTGTTTGTTTATTCATCAGTGGTCATTTTCAAATAAATTTTCTCCAAAGTAAAAATGAAAATTTATGAATAGAAAGGACATCAGGGCATATGATACAGTATCAAAGGCAAATTATAATGCATCCAAATTTAACATGTTGTTTTCGCAATGTTGCTAATGATAGTCTTAAAAAAATTACAGAAAAATCACTTTTAATTACATCATCAAATCATTAAAAAGGAAATTGAAAGTATTTGCAATGAATAAGGTATTTGATATATGGCAGGAATAGCTGCACACTGATGTTGCATAAAGAAAACACTGGGACATAATTTATCACCAAAAATGGAAAATGAGATCTCCAGCATATAAAAACTAGGATTTTTATTTTTAGCTAGAAAATGAGAACAAGTACCCCCATTTATATCACACCTGATCTAAAGGGCCAAGTGAGCTTATTTAGCTAGAAAATGAGAACAAGTACCCCCATTTATATCACACCTGATCTAAAGGGCCAAGTGAGCTTTTCCAATCACTTGGCGTCCATAGTCATCTGTTGTTTCCGTCATTGTTGTCCATCATTTTTTACAAAAATCTTCTCTGAAACTACTGGGCTAAATTTAACCAAACTTGGCCATAATCAATATTGGGGTATATATGAGGGTTGTCCTTAAAGTTTGAGGACAATCTCAATAAAATATTATTTACCCGTCCGAAATAAATAAAACAAGTATATAACTAATTTCATGATTTACTGATTAAGTGTACAAAATTTTATTTCAGTACCTGCTTAAATAATCGTATTTTCATCAATTTAAAATCATAAGAAACTGTCACCCGCAGCACCCAAACAAATATTTCCAACGTTCGACGACATCAACATTTTAACTTTTCTCAACGTAGTCTCCTTTCAAAGCAACACATTTTGTACATCTTTTTAACCAGTCATCAAATATTTTCTCAAACTGTTCTGTTTTCATTTTTAAGATTATGTTAATTACTTCCTGTCTTAGTTGAGGTAAATCGTCGAACCTTTGTCCATGGAAAAAAGATTTAATATGCGGGAATACCGCAAAATCCATTGGCGCTAAGTCAGGGCTATACGGAGGATGTTTCAGACATTCGAATCCAAGTAAATCAATTTCTAGATGAGTTTTTAGAGAAGTGTGGGCCGGTGCATTGTCTTGGTGTAATATCACTTGCTCTATGTTGGCTGCTAAATAAGGGCGTTTCTTTCTCAAAGCTTGAACCAAATCTCGCCTCAGTACCTGAAAGTACAAAATAAACAGACTTTTAATCGTATTGCATCTAAATTAAAATAAGATTGATAATTTATTTTTTATTCTTTGATAAACACCTTCTTAAACTGTTTATTTCATTTTATTTAGGTTTTAATTATTAATATAAGATCATTCATTATTTTTAAAAGCAAATATTATGTTTAATACCTTGGAATAGTATTCAGAATTAACAGTCTGGCCACGGGGTACAGCATGTGTCAGTAACATTCCTTTTCAGTCCATGAAGAGAATGAACATATTCTTTCCCATTGATTTGGTTATCTTTGCCTTCTTTGGTGGCGGTGAGTTACAGTTTTTCCACTGACTTGACTGTTGTTTAGTTTCCGGATCGTAGTAATGAAACCAGCTTTTGTGGGTTGTAATTATTCTGTCTAGAAATCGTATGCCACCATGAGAAACTTTTTTAATAAATTGATTAGACAATTCCATTCTTTTTGTTAAATGTTCTGCTGTAAGAAGTCGCGGTACCCATCTAGCACATACTAGATTCATATTTAAATCATTTGCTAAAATGTGGTGCGCTGTAGTCTTAGAAATGTCACATTTGTCTGCAACTTCGCGAACTGTTAGTCGCCGGTCACTGTTGATAACGTTCAGAACTTCATCTTTTATCGCATCTGATTCCCTGAAAGATGGCGTACCTTCCCGCTCATCGTCTTCCAAATTGTCTCTTCCGTCCCCAAACCTTTTGTGCCACTTGAATACCGATGAACGACTTACTTTGCTATGTTTCTCAGACTGATTTAGAATTTTTTTTCAGTGATTCCAATTCTGGATTCAATGCTTCACGTCAAGATTTTTCCGCCATTTCAAAATTTTGACCATTCAAATTTAGCAGGTGTAACGTCAAGACTATTGTCGACGTCACAATGTAAGTGTCATGTATTTTTTGGCGGATTTTGAAACTTAAAATAACAAAAGTATGAAAACACCAGCCTGCATGTTATGTGATATTTTCGCCTTGCTCCGGGTCCCTATTGCTTATATTTATATGAAGTAAGTGTTATTATTTCACATTTAAAATTGGACAAATATTGATATAACCGAACTAGGATATAGTTCAGGATTACAAATATGCAAAAAGAATTTACCTGAAATGCTATTTTTACACAGACTTCAGCTTGTCCACGAACTTTACGGACAACCCTCGTAGTTTAAAAAAATAATAGACTTCTTATAGAATGTTCGTATCATTTTTTTCATTTTTGCCTATTATCTTAAAAACTATAATAGATAGAAACTGTAATAGCAAAAATTATCAGTAAAACAAAATCTACAAATAGGTAAAGGAGTGATTGCCCTTTATTGACATTTTTTTAAATCTTTTTAGCGTTTTGGGCAAAAACTAAAGAAGATAGGGTGAAACGAAAAATAGAAAAAATTATCAGCAATACAAGATCAACAAAAAGAGATTTTTTGTCAAGAATTCTATTCTAGTCCACAATGTTGGAGAGTGTCCATTGTTAAAGATGCACATAGACCTAGGTGAGGGACACAGGCACTTAAGAGCCATTAGTTTCCATTGCAATCAACTATGTACTACTTCAAGAATGTTATATCGAAATTGCAAAAAAAAATCAGCAGTAGATTTTTGCTATATTTATTTGATTCGACAAGAAAATTGTCTATTTCTTTTTATTACCAATAGCTATTTATTTGCATGATTTCACAAAACTCTTATCTTATTAAATCATCATTATAGGACTTCTTCAAAGGTTTATAGATTAAGGAACACTTTGCCAAAAAAAAAATGGGTGAAAATTAGTGTTGTCAAATCTAACAGTTTTCCCTAACTGGTTACTCGGATTAACTTTCGACTGATTAATCGGTTAACCAGTAGTTAAGTTGACATTTAACGGCCTTATTTATATTAATAATTATCCTACAAATGTACATTTTCATGATATTACGATAAATTGAAGTTTATCCTTTGGCATTATAAGGCTTGGCTATGAGCATTCCTGGTGAAGTTTTACTTTTGATAATCTAATACTACCGTATCTACTATGATGTTTGTAATAACTAATCAGATTGAGAAAATATAAATCTTTTTGATCTAGTTGAAATTTTTATTTTTGTTTCTAATTTTTAAAAAGTAATATTTAAGGCTTAAAAATACTGAATGTATTTTACCTGTTATTAATTAATAATTGTTATAACAACACCTATTGTATTTTGTTTGTAGGCATAGGTTGAATATATATTTATGATTTACTCCTGGTTTGTCCACTTTTAATTATACCAATTATCTATTAGTAAAAAGAAAACAAAAAAGACAAAAGGTTTAATGAGCATATAATTATATAGTCTGTTCCAACTTTATAGCTATATAGTTTATCTGTGTTTTCTATATATTTAGGTATTTTTCATTTTGTAGTTCCATTTTTATATAGACAAATAATAAATAAACCAAACATTTTGTTTCTCAATAATTTAATATCAATTAAATCGAATTTTTTTTAACATTAGACAAAACAATGACATTCATTTAAATTCTCCCTCATAAATTCGTCCGAAATTTAAAACATTTCTAATCTATCTACATTGCTAAATAAGAGGCAAGAAGAAGATGGGATGCTGTGTCAGAGTAGTCTATCCCACATGAAGAGTCCGTGTTGGTATCTGTCTTTCAGTAGCTGGAGTCTGGTGTCTCTAACATAACTCTGTATTGTCGTCTTTTTGGTGGGGGGGGTTCCTCCTGCATACTGGATAATGGTACATTCTGTTAGTGCCTGGGTCTTTAGTAACTCGATCTTACTTTTGCTGTGCCATCCTTCAGGTGGCTGGTGGTGCGGGGTCCTTCGGTGAAGTAGTGGTTCCATCAAAAGCGGTATCCTTCAACCCAAAACTCTGTCACGTAATCAGTAAATGATGTTGTAGCGGGTATGTTGTCAGCTTCACCAATGTCTTCTAAAGTTGTAAGCCAAACATCCGCAACAAGGTGGGGTGAACGAGAGATACTGTGGCTCGTTGTATAAGTCGAGTGATGTCTTCATTTTTTGTCTCGCCTTAACGGAGTCAAAAAGCGAGACATAGGTATGCTGTTTCCAGCGTCGGCGACTGAGCTGCGGTGTCAACAATGTATTAGTTTGTGATTAGGTCTAGTTCATGGTGAACCACTAGTGGTAGGTCAATGATATTTGGTATGCAGTTGTATTAGCATTGGCACATCTCATTACCATGGAGATCATTTGGGCCCGCCCCCTCAGTCAAGGTCTATTGACTTTGAAACTTTGCTTAGTTTACATGTATTAGTTTGTGATTAGGTCAGTTTATGGGGAACCACTAGTGGTAGGTCAATGATATTTGGTATGCAGTTGTATTAACATTGGCACATCTCATTACCATGGAGATTATTTAGCCCTGCCCCCTCAGTCAAGGTCTATTGACTTTGAAACTTTGCTTAGTTTACATGTATTAGTTTGTGATTAGGTCAGTTTATGGGCAACCACTAGTGGTAGGTCAATGATATTTGGTATGCAGTTGTATAAGCATTGGCATATCTCATTTCCATGGAGAATATTTGGCCCTGCCTCCTCATTCATGGTCTATTGACTTTGAAACTTTTGCTCAGTTTACATGTATTGGTTTGTGATTAGGTCAGTTTAAGATGAACCACTTATGTTAAGTCAAAATGTTTTTGCTCATTTTCCTTGATTTAATAATAGAATTAAGTATCTTTTATAACATTTTACAGGTAAAATAAAGGTAAAAAATATGACTATAATTCAGAAATAAACTATAACTGTTAAAACAACAAAACGCCGTATGTTTTTATAAACCTGCAATTAAATGTGGGCAAACCAAGATGACACCATATTTATCACATGTTGGCATAGGTTGCAGAGACCGTTTTAAATACATGTAGGCTAACTATGTATACTTTAGATTTTGCACCGAGCTGATAGACAAGTTGTTTTTGTGCTAATCAATTTTATAAAATTGAAATGTTTTCAAGGGTTAACAATAGCAATCACTATATTGGACAATTGATCTATCAAATTAATTACCACGACGATCATTTTAAAATTCAACAAAATTAATTAATCATTTCAATACACATTTATACCAAATCTATTAAAATCGAAAAAAAAGTTCTGGTTATATATAACCGGTTATCGTTTTTTATTCGATATTCGGTCCTTCCGACGGTAAACCAGTTAATCATTGACAACACTAGTGAAAATATAACTTTTCCTTTTAAAATTGTGTTATTTTTAGAAAAAGATTGAAAAATGAAATTTTGTTCTTTTACATGAAACTGGAATATTTCAAACTGAAATATCTCATAAAATTTAGCCATGAAGGTATGTTTTTCTGAGAGATTTTTTCTGTATCATATGCCCTTAAACAAAATTTCTAATCAAGAACTAAACTTTGCTATAGTCCACCTGCAAAGTGTAATCTATCAACCAATACACACATGTATCCAGGGGGGAGGGGGGAGGGGAGGGGGGGGGTGGCGATGGATTTATTTATCAATTAATAATTTATCCTGTGAATTTGAAAGACAGAAAATTTACATAATACCTAAAAACCATATTAGGAATCACAAAAAAAAATTGGACATTATTAACTGATGACTTCAAAATACATTATAAATTGTCTATTTATAACAATTCCATGTGTCTGAGAACTGGTCATTAATTCAGGTCAAATAACAGTAAAACTGGTCTAATACATGATTTTAACTTGTCTAATACGGGATTTTATCTTCCTGTTATTGGTTCAAAAAAGGTGTCAGAAAATGGAAGAGTGTATTACACAAAATGAAAGATTTCAACAAGTTTGACGTTAAACTTGTAGTTATTTTCATATGCTATAATATTTTTTTAATTGAGTATATCCAATTATAGCCAGTAGAAAGGGTGAAATTCCATAATTATCAACTGTAAATGGTTATTTCTCTTAGTGTGCAGTCTGAAGTGAAATAAGTTTTTAGGGTTGACAATTTTGGATGTGCACAGCTTCTAAGTGGCCACAAATGTCTTATTATACCAAACTAACAGTAGAAAGGTCTTTCTAACCATTGAAGCTCATGATTTTTATCCACATGCCTTACTGTAGATACAGATTGTCAAAACACTTGCATCAGAGAATTATTTTGTGTCTTAAATGCCTTGTATAAATTTACAACAAAGGTATACTCTATCTGTAAAATATTGTTGGTCCTGAAAAGGGCTGTTTGTGAAAGCTATCCTTGGCGCAAGATGAATTCATATACTTGTATCCTTGTCACTTGATGAACTTCTAACCTGGCAATTGCCATTTTGTTTACATATTTCAGTGATGTCAAATAGGGTCAAATTTATTTTTCAATAATATAGGTCACTAGCTGATGTAGCCACAACTTTTTATTGAATACTACCACTCAAGAAAACATTAATGTCATGCTTTTTTTTTTCTGATCACAATTTGTCTAATCTCTTAGTGTTTTAGGTATTTTGCTTTTTAGTCAATTTACTAGACATATTTGTTGTTGGTTTTAGTCTGGCCTGAGACGAAAGCCGTAGAATGCGAGACATAGGGATTACAATCTGTCGGCGGCGGTAACAGCTTAAACTGTTTGTATAAAGCTTTATATTTCAGTGGGTAGAATACCTGGATGCTTTATACCTTGTATACAGATACCTGATCAAGGCTTATGTCACGGAGTTTCCATCTGTCCTATGTCCATTGTCCTTGACTTCATTTGCATGGTTCATTGGTCAATTTAAGTTTTTATATTCTTGTCAGTTTAACAGATACCATAAGCAATACCTTCATTATATTTGGTGTATGGAATGATTGTAAGGTGTACATGTCTGTCTGGCATGGTTCATCTGACCTTGACCTCATTTTCATTGATCATTCATAATGGTAAGTGTATGTGATACTTGCAGTAAACATAAATTCAATCATGATAAGTAAAGCAGGCGAAACATTTCAGCGTTTGCACTCCCTTTTCAGATAATGAAAATAGTACAAGAAAAGTTGAACATGGAACAAAAGTACAAAGAACAAATAGAAAAGGTTTGTATGATTCATTTAACTATGTATGTTGGTTGTCAAATACTGTAAAATACTAGTAATTGTAGGGGTCAGCAACTAATTAACTTCTATCCAAAGATCTAATTGAAGTGAGAGAATATTTTTGGAACTTTTGAATATTTTTTTCAGAAATATTGCTGGACTTCACATTTCCACTTAACTTAAAAGCATACACCTGTGATTATACATCATAATATCACAGTTAAACTGGACAAGATAAAAGAAGAAAGGAATGTTATTTGAATGTCGGAAGTTGACCTATATTTTTCTATTTTAAGAAAGTGAACAAAAGCATTAATTTTGTGAAATAAAAAGAAAAGAAACAATTATAAAACCCTACAAATGATACCTTAATTATAAAAAAGACATGTTTTATAGGTTTTTGTATTGTTGCTCTCAGGTTTCATGATGGTCTGTCTATTTAGGGTTATTGGATGTGACTTAAAAGACAATTTTCTTCAAATATTCAGACTCAATGGGCTATCTTGCTATGAAAATACATGCTAATGATGTGCTTGACAATTTGCCATAATGACTAGCTCATGTTTATACAATTTAAATTTTTCAGCAAGGAAAAAGTTAGATATGGTCATGATGGATTAAGTGAAAACTTTTTTTTGGGGGAAAGATGGCTCTTATGGCCTATACTCCTGACCAGATGTTTATTTCTACTTTCTAAGACTCCCAGGTCAACCATAGTGTGCTTTACATTATTAAAGGAACAACTCATATTCTTTCAGATTGATATGATTTAAAAAACAAAAATAAACAAACCAATTGGATTTAAATAACTATCCAAAATATCCCCCTTTTTGTCATGAAGGCTTCAACATTTATGTCACATAACTGAAACACAACGATCCTAGATTCCGTCTTCGTCATCGTCAACATTAAGGTTCAGTCTGTGGTAAAGATTTTTTAGACATCAATAACTTTGTCACACCTGTATGGAATTTTATAAAATTTGGACGAATGCTTTTTTATGACCAATGGACAGTTGCAAGACAAAAATTTCGAAAATATTTATTTTTGTTTTTCAGTATTTTGCTGATAAATGGACTTGACCGTGAGGGCATTCCGGTATATTGCTGTCGCCTAGATTTCCATTACGTAACTTTCGTGTTGGGATTGTAACCTATTTATAAACATGATAAATACGCAGACATTATCGAGTGCAAAAAACATTCCTTATCGCTTGTTATAAATTCATTTCTTCAATGGATACTCCTAAAAATATTTTTTTTAGAACATAAATTAATAATATGAAAATGTTTTGTCGTTAGAAATATATATATAAGTAAAAAATCTTGAATATCTATGCACACGTACAGAAAATATGTGTTAACGCATGCGGAAGAATATCTCAAGAACATTTGCAATCTCCCATGCAGAGTTATCGGTCCTCGCTCTCTCTCTCGGACCGATAACTCTGCATGGGAGATTGAAAGTTTGGCGGGAAAATATGAATGCCTACTCAAATCCAATCTATTAGAAAAATCGAATTATTACAGAAGAGTGTCCACCATGCAGTTAATATAGTAGAATAGAATGATATACAAATGGATGAAAATTATATATACATGTAACTGTACATACAAATATTAATATAATATATAACAACAAACCAGAGTATACTGATTTGTATCACTTCAATATCATATTTATTACGGTGAGGTTGAATTCCCTGTCATTTATTTATCATCCACGCACGAACTTGTCTAAGAAAAAAAATTATATCTGTACATTAACCTCACTTTCAAGTATAGAGATGTGATTTTTTTTCTGAGACAAGTGCTTGTGACCATCCACAAGAACTTGCAGTCATCCGATGTTCAGTACATCAGTACTTTGATTTTTGCAGTTAACATTAAGATTTAATCTAAGGTTAAAGGAGCATTAGCTGTCAAGTTCATGTTCACTGATTTGACCAAAATTCTTATATTTATGTTATGTTTAACATACTAAAAAGTACATCCAAATTATAAAAAGTCCAAAAGAAACAATTTACAATGCATGGGCTCTCTATAATGTATCAGCATTTCGTACATATTTTAGACATCTAATTATCCATGGAGGTAACCTCTAAAGACTGCAGATGGTGATATAACCCTATATAAACATAAATATGAATATAAATAGATAATGAGAACGTGCAGTCAGATTTTTCCAGGTCCATTTGATTTCATTTAATAGGATAAAAATATATGTAAATAATTTTTTACCGGTGTAAGAATGAATTTTTGTGGGTCATATCAGTCAACGAAATGGTTATTCTTGGTGTCTACCTTGTTTCACTTTTCAATGATGACATTCTTTTCTTTTTAATGAATGAACCACATGATTAACACATGCACACCGTTTCCACAAAAGATCAAATTAAAAGGTTGCATGAATAAGGATTCAAATGAGTTGATTTATTGACTTGCATCGGTTAATAATACATTATCGATGTTTTTAAGCTTATTTTGAAGTAATTTTTCAGTCATCCATAACTTTGTCAAACCTTCATGATATTTTACTCAAGTTTGACAGAAGATTACTATGGTCAAAAGACAGAATCACATGCAAATTAATGAAAATGTTTGTTTTTTTTTTAATTTTCCATATTCTACAGATAAAAAGACTTATAGTATTAAACAGTTAATGTCTGGGGTTCAAGCTTGTTACATCAATTACTGTGTAAAACCTGCACAGAATTTTATAAAACATTGGAATAAGCTTGTTTATGATTAAGAGATAATGTCTGAAGCAGAATTTAAAAAAATGTCTATTTTTTCATTTTCAGTATTTTACTCATAGATGGTTTTTTTTTTAAATTCTATTTTTTTTTACTGATAAATGGACTTTTTACAGTCAACATTACACTTTTACACAGACAGCGGCAATCACTGGCATGACACAGGGTTTTGGAGAATTCATTACGAATTTTTTGACATCATAACTTTGTTAAACCTTCATGGAATATTATGAAACTTTTGCAGAAGCCTTGTCATGATCAAAAGACAGTATAAAGAGCAAAATTTAGATTTTTTAGATTTTTTTTGTATTTAACCTATCCCTTCGTAATTACCTCTTTTGACGCCGCCCCCTTCACTCCATAATGATGCATTTTGACACCTCTGTTTAGTACCTCAGTTGAATACTTTGCCTACTAAAAGTCTGTATCAGACTAAATAAAATTTTTATCCACTATAAAAAGGATATACCTGGGAATATCTGACTTTTATTGATACCAACTGGTTATTAAATACCTAATATTCAATTTGTACGATACAATTTGCGAAAAAAATGAAGTCATCATCAGTGTTCACTCCCGCTTGGGAGTTGTAGAATATAACAACAAATGCAAGTTTATGTTTAAACTTACATTCAAATATCAGAAATTTAGTGAACAACGCCGATATATACAGTGGAGTCCATACAATTCTTTTCTGACCCATTATGGACAAAATTATAGCAACTTGCAAAACATTCAATTATAGTCTTAAGGTTAAATTTTTTATTAGACATCATGCAGTAACTTTGTCATACATTCATAGATTTTTGGAAAAATTTGGCATGATTGGGACAGATGCTCTATCATAATCAAAGAAAAGTGTTTCATTTTTCTGGGTTTTACTGATAAATGTATTTAGTTTTTTAAAAGGCATTTGCCTTTTATTGGCATCATATACTAAGTAATAGCCATTTTGTTGACTGACTTTTTTTCCTAAAATAGAGTGCACAAGTTTTTCATTCTTTAGTTGTTTCAAGATCAGGTAAAAGTATGATTTTGCTTGATTTCATATTGAAAATTATTTTTATATGATTGAATTGTTCCTCAAACACAATATCTAAATGAGTTTTAATTTGAAATTAGATTTTCCTCCAAAATGTTCCACTAATAGTTATATAACAGACATTATTTCCGGGCGCAGTGATGAAAATGTTTTTTGTGTGGTACACAGTCTTTTTTCTACCAATGATTTTCAGCCAAATATCAGCTCTAACAGGATGTTTTTTTCCAAAACTTCAAACCAATTTTCCCTATTGATAATCTACCCAAAACCTCCAGATACAGTCTACCAAATCATATGTAAAGCTGGTCAAATTGCATTAAAATATCTTGTGTGTTTGGATTGTTTACTATAGATTACACATCAGTTCATTTTGTAACTTAATGTCATATGCCAAACTATGGATCATATAAATTAAATGGAACATTGTGAGCAAAAGAAAGATGGGTATCATTTTTGAGATTCAAGACAGTATAAACTGATCCATGTATAAGTATATATATATATATATATATATATATATATAAACAAATCCAAATTGAAACTAACGTTCAAACCTATGATTGCGTTTGATAAAAACCGCAATTTTTATATGTGTGCATGCAAAACAAATTTCTTGGTAGAGGGGTCAAAATACAGCACAAACAACATTTTCCAAAAGACCAAAAAAGTGAAAAAGTATATTTTAACAAAATGCATTTGGCTAGCAGGTCGAATAACGGATGTTCTTAAACCCTGCTGACTGCCATGACGATTGCCAAATAAACAGATCACCAGATGTAACAAAATGGATCTTAATTATTAATTTAATACCAAACAGAAAACAATAAACTTGCAGAAAAGATGGTATACCGCAAACATGAGGTGCAAAAATTGGAACACCATATCCGTATTTCGACAATTAATATACATATATATTGAAAAGTTATAAAATTTGTCTACGATGTGCACAAAATAGGAAAAAAATAAGGCTGAAAATGCACTAAATATTTATATTCAATATGAATAATCACATTTTGTCGATTAAGACATCAAATTGTTCTAAAATGTTCTTCTAGTTACACTGTTTCACAAATATTCATGGATATGGTTGCTTGCGAAGTCGACAGGATAACGTTTATAAGCGACATCATTATAAGATCCTTAACTCATAATATAGTACAATGTTGGTACTTAAAACGAAAGTGAAAGTATATAGAGTAAAAC